TGCAAGACACACACAGATAGAAAGTAAAGAGATGGGATAAACATATTTCATGAAAGTGGAAACAAACAAAAAAACCTGGGGCAGCAATACTTGTACCACACAAAATATACTTTAAAACAAAGGTTATAACAAGGGTCAAAGGAGGACCCAGTAATCCCACTTCTGGGTATTTATCTGAAGGAAACCAAAATGCTACTTCGAAGGGACGTGTGCATCCATATGTTCATTGCAGCATTGTTTACAATGGTCAAGATGTGGAGGCAGCCTGGGTGTCTGTCAATGGATGATTGGATAAAGGGGAGATTGAACATATACACAATGGAATATTGCTCAGTCATGAAAGGAAAAGGGTTCTTGCCATCTGCTGCGTCATGGGTGGACCTGGAGGGTATTTTGCTGAGTGGATTCAGACAGAGAAAAACAAATGCAATGTAATTTCATTTATATGTGGAATCTAAAGAACAAAATAAACAAAAGAAGCACAAACAAACTCATAGATACAGAAAACATTTTGAAGCTTGCCAGATAGATAGGAGGAGTTTGGAGTGTACGGGTAAAAAGGCGGAAGGGGTTAAGAAGTACAAATTGGTGGTTACAAAATAGTCATGGGGACATAAAGTATAACTTAAGTAATATACTCACTAATATTGTAATAACTATATATGGTGTCAGGTGGGTACAGATTGATCAGGGTGGTCACTTTGTAAGTTTTATAGATGTCTAATCACTATGTTCTACACCTGAAACTAATATAATATTCTTTGTTAAATGTAATTAAAAAATTAAAAATATATTAAAAAAAGAAATTGTCATTTAGAGTACAGATCCATTCTAAATGTACATGAAAGAATAATTTAGGAAAAGCACATCATGTATTTAATCATACTGCAAAATCATAATTAATTTTTTAAATTAAAATAAATATGATAGTGGACAAATCAACAAGCAGAACAATGAAACATATGGAGAGTTCAAAAATAGAACACTGTATCTGTGGGACCCTGAGTCATGACAAGGATGACATCACAAAACAAAAGAATAAATTGATTAATAGATGATACTTTGAAAAGCCATTCATGACTGGAAAAAATGTGAAGCTATATTTCTATCACCCTCCATATGCAAAATAGAATTTCATGTAAAGTACATACTTCAAAATTAAAGTAAATTGATAACAAAATGTTAAGAGAAAAATCTTTGTGTGTAAATATTAGGGAAAGAAATCATCAATCAGTTCTCCAGTTACAAGGAATAAGAAAATTAAGCAGTTCAGCTCAATACAATAGACAGAGTTAATATACAGAACAATGTAAAAAAACATTTTCAACATTTAAAGACAATTAAAAACAATGTTGAAATTTATCATAAGATAGGACAATAATTAAAAATTGAACAAGATATATGAATAAGTAATTCACACAAAGAGAAGAGTGAATTGCCTAGAAGATAATAAATGATTCTTAAATAAAGTAGTAATAAGATAAATTTCAATTTTAAGAAGTGATATTAGTTTGAACTCATAATGACAAATCATTGGAAAGTTTAATAAAAGCAAATGTTGAGTAGGAAATGCTAATAGAAATATGAACTGTATATGTAATTCGTGAAAGCTGTCTGCCAATATTTACCAGTTGAATATTAATAAATTTTATGACCAAGCAATGCCACCTATGTTTTTATAACCCAGGCTATTTGGTTTCCTCTAAAAGAATGCACTGAAAGGTGTTCATTTTATTGATGTTCCTGTTGGTGAAAATGGGACACAACCTCACTGTCCATCACAAGGGAAAAGGTTAAGTGAAATATAATAAATGAATATTATTTTTGCAGCTGTGAGAAACAACCAACTGGATTTTCATTTAATATATTGAGTGAGAAAGACAAACAAAAATGAGATTTTATACAGAAATAGAAATTGTGTAAATTAAAATGCATACAATCATTGTGTATTTTACAAGAGTACATGAACAGTGTTTAAGTATAGTCCTCATAAAACGGGATAACAATGTAAGGAGAAAGGCGAAAGGAGAAAATGAAATAAAACCTTTTCTTTATTTTGGAGTGGTGTTGATAATCTGTTATAAAGTGAAAAGTATAATGAACCCAAACTGCTTGAGTTTCAAAATCATTATCATTGTTGAAACAAAAACAAAAAAGGAAGTAGTAATCCAAAGTATAGTTCTGTTTGGGCATGGGAGTGCAAAAAAGACACCTCTCTTGTCTGCCTAGCATCTGAACAGTAGAAAGGAACAACTATTGATTCAGAGTGGTAAAACCCACCCTATTTCTGTTGTTGATTTCATAAGCCTCTAACTACTGCTGTACTGTTTGCTAATTCTAATTGGGTTTTTGTTACCTATTACACTATGCTCTTTAACTGACAAGCATCTGCTGTATGCCAGGGTGTCAGTTATCAAATGCATTTACTGCCTCTCACTTCCAAATCCACTCTTAACTGCCTATTCTATGATAATGGAGGTAAAGTTGAAAATTCTTCTTTCTCAGTTGGCACAATATTATGTTTTGTCAGTAGAGTGTGCTGGAGAGGCACTAGAGGAGGAAGGGAAGTCTCCTCCTAGTTCTCTAGGCAGGATCCTGCGATCATCTCCGTCTCTACAGCACCAGACTGTGGCAAGGAGTTCAGCTTCTGCACGCCAGCTTCTAGCAGCACACATGGCTTTGCAGCAGAGTACTTCGGTGCAGCACCACCTGTGAATGGCTCCCTTTTACACCCACTTGGGGAGTTTTGCAGTACAGCGTTGTTCTTCTGGAATTTTGCTTACACCCTTGGGCAGCTTCATAGGAAGATCTGAGGTTCAGTTCCCTCACCTGGGTGGCTTCTGCTGGCACCTGAGGGAGCAGATTCTCAATAAGTGCTACTGACATGGCACTTTGCAACGGATGGCATCTCATGCATCTCCCCTGGGGTAGCTTTGCAGCCTCAAAAGTTGTTCAACCTTCTGTTGAGTCTTGGGCATGCTCTCTCTCAAGAGGTTTGGATATCAGTCCCAGGAGAAAGTCCTCTCCCGAGATGTCCCTCAACCAATTGCTCTACTCAGAAGTACTACATAGGAGCAGTGACTACTCCCTATGTCATTTATTCTTATATTTTTAAAGTCTTCTTTACTCCTTATTGACCATTTCCATTTCTCCAAACTTCAGGTATAGTTAACAATTATTTACAATTAAATTTCTATTTTCAAATCCTTGTGTGGTTTCACATACACATTCATATTCAGGAAGGGACTGATACACTAATTAGATCCTGACTGATACACTCAGCTGAGGCTGTTCAGTGATGATCAAATCACACAGATTCCTGAATGTAAGAGGTTGGGGGGCATGGATGGTACCAGCCAAGAAATATTATTTCTGGCTATGGTTTTTCTCTTTGAGACAACTCTTTCAGGCATTATCATCAATATTATTAATAACACCACCCTACCCTTATTATGCATAATAATTATAACAAAAACACTATTTAGATTACATTGCTATGCCATGTGTCAGGCATTGTGAAGTGTCAGATATTGCAACAAATGTTTTTGTACACTTTATCTCATTTAATCCCTACAATCACACCATAAGAAAGATATATATCATTTGGGGTATTTCAGGTAAGAAAAACGAGGTTCAGGAAACGAGTGATTTACATAAGGTCAGAGCTCATAAGAGGTAATGTTGTTTTCAGTACAAGCTGTCTGATTTCAAAGCTTATGCTCTGAACTGTTATACTATCCGACCTCACTTGTCACTTTTCAGTATAAGCATCTCTTATGCATAATGGCTAGGCTGTATTCTTTCATTTATGAATTTTTTATTTTAAATATATCTACCAAAGTGTTCACCAAAATTCATATCCTATCCTGTCCTATCCTATCCCCTTGCAAGCAATTTTTCTTCAATTGTCTGTTGAACTTATTTGAAATTCTCAGGTTACCAAATACATAACTTCATTCCTCAGTGATTTGGCATATGCTAATCTCCCTTTCCGTTTTTTTTTCTTCTTCTTCTTTTTTCTTCTCTTTCTGACAAATATCTACTAATCTTATCATTTACTTCATGTTTAGGACTTCATCTCTCATAAAATCTTGTACACACTCATTTATAGTCATTTGTTGGATGCCTTACTTTCAGAATCTTCCTAACTAGATTCAGAACTGGGGTTTAGAAGGAGACAAGAACCACTCCAAGCTGATATTTTATTTCCAGAATCTAGCATCCACGGAAGTGGCTATTAATTGAGGAAATTAAAATAGGGTGTGCTGCTGATTACACTATGCTAATGACTACACAAGCAGAGAAGCCATCAGATGCAAGACAAGGAAGGGAACAGACCTCAGGACACTTTCTGGACATGAATGCAAAACATCCTGAGCAGAATGGGATTCTTTTGGTGTAAGCCCAAAACAGGGTTTTTTAGACAGCCATGAATACCAAACCATGAAACACCCCTCAGGCCTATATTTATCACATTAGCAGCCCCCTCCTTCTAAACACAGACTGAAAGGCTCAAGGCAAGAGGCAGTGAAACTAGCTTCACCTGCTTTCCTTCCGACCCTCTATAAAATGACAGAGGGAGCTAACATAACAGTGATTGGGGAAGAGGAGCAATGGGGACCACAAAATACATAAGGAAAACCTTAGCAGAACAGGGGTATATTTAGGCAAAAGAACTTTGTGGACATAGGGCTGTGAGGTTCTGGACAACTGAAGAGAGAGAAGACATTTATAAGGCTGAACAAAATAATTTATTTAAATAAAACATAGCAAAAATATAACCCCCAAATGAATCCTTTTCTGAGGGAAATGTAGAATAGGCAGCAGGGTCTACTTCCCACATATATTGGCTATGCACAACCTCTCTTCTCATGAAATCCAAGATACAGATATATTTTCCTGAAGCCTGCTCTATCCCCTCATTACTTTATGTCTTAAAAGCCTTGCCCTCTCATGTGCCCACCTGAGTAAGAGACACAGAAATGATTTAAAAACACCAGTGCAATGGAAATAAATGCTCTTTATTAGGCAGAAACCAGCTACCCAACACCCTTCAAAAGATTATCATGTTCAGTTGTTGGGCTCTGGGTCAAAACGGGCCCTTCCTGGAAAGCAGGAAAGGAAGCTTAGTGGTACTTGTGAGCCAGGGCAGTGGCCACACCAGCCACCACCTTCTGATAGGCAGCCTGCACCTGCGGGGTGAAATCCTTGCCAAAGTTGCGAGCCAGCACGCACACCAGCACGTTGCCCAGGAGCTGTGAGGGAGAGACAAGGGGTATGATCATGGTTAGCAGCCGGGCCCAGCTTGGATTCAGAGTACTCCAGCCCCATCCCAAGCTGTGCCCCTAGAACTTAGGCAGAAAAACAGCTGGACCTTAGATGTTGCTGTTGATGCAAATCCACCCATATCAGCCTGAATTTTTACTTAGTAACCTTGCTCGCTTTCTGCCTTAATCCAGAACTTAAGTTATCACTGTCATTCTTCAGGACCATGCCAAGAAGTAATAACACATTTTATCCTCCTTGCTTTGAAAAAGAGGGGATAAGGGAAAGTATTAGACCATTTTAAGTGGATTAAAAAAAGGAAATTGTTTAGAGTAAACACTCAAAATAAAAAGTTTACTTAAAAAATAAAGAAGAGACATTGCAGAGAACAAAAAGAGAAAAACAAGGATGAATAAGAGGAAACAATGGTTGTGAGCAAAGAGAGCAGAATAAACTACAGGGCCCCGCGGAGTCCAGGGTGCTGGACCCAGAGTACCTGGTGCCCATTCTAAACTGCACGCTGACATCTATGCCCTCCCATCATGGCATGAGTGTGCTACAAAAAGAAAACAGAAGGTGAACATCGAGGGCCCCAGACACTCACCCTGAAGTTCTCAGGATCCACGTGCAGCTTGTCACAGTGCAGCTCACTCAGCTTAGCAAAGGTGCCCTTGAGGTTGTCGAGATTCTTCAGACCATCACTGAAGGAGTTCAGCACTTTCTTGCCATGGGCCTTCACCTTAGCGTTGCCCATAACAGCAGAAGCAGAGGACAGGTCACCAAAGGAGTCAAAGAACCTCTGAGTCCAGGGGTAGACCACCAGCAGCCTAGGGGGTGAACACAGCACAGAGGACAGAGGGAGTCAGTGCCTGGCAGGAACCCAGGGGGCCGCTCTGTCCCCACACACCCAGCTGCCATTCACTCTTCTTACAAGCCTGCCTTGTAACCTGGATACCAACCTGCCCAGGGCCTCACCACCGACTTCGTCCACGTTCACCTTGCCCCACAGGCCGGTGACAAGACCCTTCTCTTCACCACTCAGATGCACCATGATGTCTGTTTGTGTAGTTGCTAGTGAACACGGTTGTGTCAGAAGCAAGTGTAAGAAGCAGCTGGGCCTGCTTTCCCTTTTATGCCCAGCCCTGGTCCCTGCCCTCCCTGCTCCTGTGAGCAGATTGGCCCAGGTCAGGGCGTGGCTCTTCAGGGTGAGGCCTGCATGACGACAGCCATACCTGTCCTGGGCAGTTCTGGCACTAGCTCATGAATTGGACTTCAGACCCTCAGCCCTCTCTCACTAGGTATCTTCAGGTCCCACCCCAGCAGTACAAATGGCTACTTAAAATCATCCTCTTTGGAAATTTTATGTGTATTTTTTTTTCTTTTTATAATCACAGCTTGGTAATCTCTTAGAGATTTCCTCTTCAATTTTCTTATTCCACAAATGAAGAATCCAAGTTCCAGAAAGTGGAAGGAATGTGCCCACTCTGGTTCCACTTAGGAGGATATGGGTGGATCTCCTTCTGTGTCTTCAGAATATACAAAATATTTACAAGGACAGCATGGATGAAACCTCTGCCCCAGTTCTAAGTATGTCTCTCT